TGCAGCCCAGGATACGGTTGGCTTTCTGGGCTGCAAGCACACATTGCCGGCTCATGTTGAGCTTCTCATCCAGCAGTACCCCCAGGTCCTTCTCCTCAGGGCTGCTCTCGAGCCGCTCTCTGCCCAGCCTGTACTTGTGTTTCGGATTGCCCTGACCCAGGTGTAGGACCTTGCACTTGGCCTTGTTGAACTTCATGCGGTTCACGCAGGCCCACCTCTCCAGCCTGTCAAGGTCCCTCTGAATGGCATCCCTTCCCTCCAGCGTGTCAATCCGTAGCAGGTTAGGCCTTTGGTAGGATTTTTGTACATCTTAGATTTAAAGCCTTCATTAAGCCAAACTGTTTCTGGTTTAGTTTATCTCAGACTGTGTGCCTTGTTACGAGGAGCTATGGTGGGGTCAGACTATGCTTTAGTACCACTTTGTATGGTATGTGTTCAAAATAGGCCATGCGCAGGGCTGCGCTTGCATAGTGCTGTCCCTGCTCTTTAAGACAGAGTTGGATCTGGCCAGTCAACATGTTTCTAGTGAAGAACAGTTTCATGCTTTCAGGCTGAAAAATACTTCATATGTTAACTCCAAAAATCATCGTTTAGAACATTTAATATCTACCATATGCTTATTTCATTATAGTAGATGTTCATTACTCCTGAATTTACAGTTATTTGAGGTATTTGAAATCTTGACTACATGGAATACCTTTCTGTTTGGAGATTTAAAAAAATAGAGGGGCGGGGAGGGATACTGTTTCACTATGTTTCAGAAAATGCCTGTGAAGTTTTCTCTTGTGGTAATAGTGAAATGCAGAGAAGTTTGTGTTTTACCATAGGCATACTTCACTCATCTTTTCATCTTTAATGTATGTTCTTCCTCTAAGAACACAAGTGTAAAAACTCATAAGAGATTAAATGAATTTGCTTAGAAATGATTTTGTGGAATAAGTAACATTGGAGTATAAAACTGAGGTAACTATATATGGTCCAGAATTTGTTTCTCCTGAACTCTGTGCAGAAATGTTTGGGAGTGTCAGTGTCTGAATATTTTAAAAAATCCATTTGTGCTTGGACAACAAATTTTACTCTTTTTTTTATTTTGAGTTAAAAAAGAAAGCATTATAAATCCTCCCAAAATTCTTTCCCAAAACCAGTAGTTAAGTCTTACATGCCTGTCAGAATCCTTGCAGTGGCTTTCTGGAGGATTTAAAGAGATTTCTTTTCATTAGAGTTGAAGGTAAAGTTTGTACTATTTTCCATACAGAATTTTGCAGGAGAAATTAGACCAGCCAGTATCTGCTCCACCATCACCCAGAGACATATCAATGGAGATAGATTCTCCAGAGAATATGATGAGACATATCAGATTTTTAAAGAATGAAGTGGAGAGGTTAAAGAAACAACTGAGGGCTGCACAGTTACAGCGTGAGTAAACAACTTGTTTTAAATGTTTTTCAGTTTGTGTAATGTAAGATTTCTATATATACTGTCATGATTTTTAATTTAAAGTAGAAGTGGAAGAAAATAGGGTGAGTTTGGATTAATACATTTCCATAATTGCAATATTGCTCAGCAATGTATTTATACTGCAGTGCGACTTTTTTGTTTGATTTTTTTTTTTTTAGCTTTATAAGTGTGTCTGGAAGAATCAACAAGTATTTCTTGCATATTTTGGGCCAGAAAAAAATGTTTCTATTTTTTTTTTTCTTTTTTCTTTTTTTTTCAGAGACTTAGCAGTATTTCAACAGAGATTTTTCAAAACATGCTTATGAACTACTTTGTTAAAAGTCTTGTTATAAATTAAGAATTACTCAAAAGTATTAACAGCTAGTAAAATAAAGTTCAGTTGTATACAAGAATTTCACTTGTTAATGGTTGCAGCTACCTTTAAATAATTGTTTGTAGCTATGTTAGGCTAATTGTTCAGGCAGTTGTTCAACTTCACAATGTAGCAGAACAAGTAATCTTATTTTGTTCTTACGTATGTAAGAACACTTTGAAGGTGGACAGAATAAAGAGTTGGGTAGAAGTCCTTGTGTTTCTGTTGTGAGAAATGTCATGGACCCTTGACCAGAAGTGGAAAGCCTGCTTTCTGCCCTGCCTTTCAAGAGAAGAGGCTACGGCTCCGAGCGCATGGTCTCAGCTGGCAGGAAGGTCGCTTGTGCTTTGCTGTGATCTTTGCAGTGCCAATCCTTCATTCCCTCATTCTAAATCTAAAATTTCTACCTGAGTTTCATCAGTCCTGCCTAGTTCCTAGTTTAGAAGCACTATACTTCAATTGATAGGTGAGTAGATACCTAACCATATAGACAGAAAAAAGTGGGTGAGTGCGAAACGGGCAATATTCTCCCCCTCTAGCATTGCTGGTCTTGACAGACTGACTGGAATATTTCAACCGCTGTTTAGAGAAATAGCTTGTCAGAAGCAGCAGTCTTCGTTAGAGACAGAGATGATGGGAGAGTGCTCTTTTGCAGAGGCCTTTTGCGTAAGTTTGTGGTATTAATAATTTGTGTCAGTTAAAAGAAGATAAGGACTGCTAATCTTTGTACTCACTAATTGTGCACTGCAGCCTTCACTTACTGAGCTTCCGAAAGAGAGCAAGACCTTAGATTTAAAGTACTCTGTACAAATCCAGCTTAATAAATTTCATTTCAAATACTCTTTATTATTTTTAAGTGGTTTCTTTTTGAATTATTGTGATTTAGGGTGAAAATTTAGAAATATTTAAAGTCAAATTCTCATTGAAATTAAGATCAAGGCTTAGAAGTACTGTTCCCTTTGTGAACAGATTAAACAGAGCTGTTTAAATCTCTGAATAGCAATACTGATAGAAATGGTGGATGTGCTGGGCTGCAAGCAGAAGATGAAACTGAAATATGGTTTTCAGTTTGGTGTTTGCAATATGTGGTCATTAGAGAACCTGTAGTATTATTAATAAAAGCTTAATAAGATCTGCTTACTAAATTCTGATATTGGTATTACATTTTGTATTCCTGAAGTGCACTTACTTCTAGTCTAGGAACTGTTTTGGTATAATAATAAAGTGATACTGTTACATTTGGAAGCGGTATTTCCACAGAAGAGAGCTAAATCACGTATTGTTGATAGTTTGTGAACAGTCTTCTAAAACAGGAATATTCTTTTGATTGAAGGGTGGTGCATAAAGAAGTGATCACAAAGCGTGAAGAATCGTAAAATTTTTTTTACTATTAAGGAATTCACTGTAAACTCAATCAAACATTAGGAACCCTCACAAATTACATTGTGTGTCCTAAGTCTTCATCGTGTGTTCCAATTTATTTAAATATAACCTGCCAAAGAGCTTCGTAGCTTTGCATAATTTGATTTTATCACTTTAAATAGCCTGTGATAGCAGACCATTTAAGTGATGTTTGCTGAACTTGTTTAGAAATGCAAAGTCAAATTCTCCTTTGATGTAAAGAGTAAGCCACTTGTTGGCTTTTAATGTCAGTACGTGTTGTGCTGGCCAGTCTCTTATGATAAAATGTGTAATTGAAAGCATGCTACGGAATACACGAAAGGTAGCGACTTAATACAAGTTTGAGTGTTTTGGGCTTCAAAACTTGTTTTGTGCTTCCTCCTTCGAAATGGAAATATACTTGTAAAATAATTTCTTCTGTGTTGCAGTAAAATCTTTGTAAACTTGGAATAGCATTATTTTCGTGAAATCATTGTGTTTCTTCCTCACAGTTTTGGTTTTAATTTTTTTCATTACTTTTTTCCTTTCTTTTCAAATTCATTTAAGTAAATACTTAAAACTTCTATTTTCGCTTTTTACCTTTTATTTCCAAAATTACTGTCAACCAGTAAGTTGTTTTAGTAGCTCTTGTTCTGAATTAGGCTTTGAACTAATGACTTAGAGATGAGAATTTTGAGTGATCCATCCTGAGCATTTTTTACACCCTTATTCTTGAAGTGCTGGAGTAAAATTAGGCACAGTGTATGTGCCTGTCTGTGGAACTGAATTTTTAATCAAATGTTAACAAAATTCTGAATTTTAGATTCAGAGAAGATGGCACAATATTTAGAAGAGGAGCGACATATGAGAGAAGAAAACTTGAGACTTCAAAGAAAATTACAGAGGGAAATGGAACGTAGGGAAGCACTCTGCAGGCAACTGTCAGAAAGTGAATCCAGCTTGGAAATGGACGATGAAAGGTTTGTATTTTCTAGCCATCCAGAAATGTTGGCATTGAGCTTATTAATCAATACTCATACTTATTTTTTAACATTACTCAAGAAATATTTATAGAAATAACCTGTATATGGGTCTAATATATGTATCGAATTTCAGCATGGTCCAGGAATATCTTCAGTAGAATTGTAACAAACTTGTGTAGAAATTGCATTAGTTTTTACAGTGAGAAAGAAAATATTTTCTATATGAAGATTGCTTACAGTTATTTTAAAGTATATTGAAATAAATATAGCAGTGAACTTGAGATTCAGGACCATTTGATCGTAGTACCTTTGTTTTGCCCCTAACTTGATAACTGTGAGGAATTCTGTGAGGTAGGAGTAATGTCCTTACTTGGGGCTAATTTGTCCTTTGCAGAAAGTAAAATGCGTTCAGCCAAATACAAAGGGATACTGTGTACAGCTTACAGAGAGGAAACAATTCCAGGACTGTTATGTGGTTCTTGATGTCCAAGCCATAACATCCTTGATTTTTTTTTTCTCTACTGCAAGGTGCCTTGCTTGCACTGACCTTACAGATAGTCTTGAGCTTTTCATGGATTTATATGATGCCTTTTAGTGTTTTCTCATGTCATAGTCATATGACACTGTTATATCTTGAAAGAGGTTTTTAAGTACACTTTGAATAAAACATTCTTATTTCTTATCAAATGCTCATTATCTTGTACTCTTTTACATTATTTTGGATTTGTAGTGGTCCTTTAAAAAGAAGAAGTTACTCTGTGCTGTGTATTCTTCTGATGCTGAGATATTTCTTCTTGGGACATCAGTACATTTGTTAAAAGCCATAATTTACCAGAAACAAAGTACCAGATATTTTGTTTCAGTGAGCACCCTGAAGTTCAAGGTAGTGTTTTCATTTTAGTGAAATATTAGGTAACTGACGTATATTGCAGTAGCACCTGGTATTAAGATGTAGTGAATGCTATATAAATTAAATTGTTGGAAACACAGGGTTCTGCTGTTTGAACCTACTTTTATTAGCCTAATCTTTTCTGCCAATATATACATTGTAGTGGAAACACAGTCAAAATGTAAATCCATGTGAATTACCAGTATTATTCCAAAAATGTAGAGTAGCCTGATAATTTTTTTTCAACGAGTTGATATATTCAAATTTAAACCAAATTTGGTATCACTACAGTGTGCTGCCTGTGTTAGCTGTTGTGGCTTAGTAACTCTGAACATCCTCATTAAAAATCAATAAGATGCTCTATCAAAACAGGTTTCAAATAGTTTATGAACTGGCTCACAGACCTCAAAGTAGTCATCATTTTGAGTTCCATCAAATAGGAATATTTTTAGTGCTGCTCCATGTTGTGGGTTTTTATTCTGTGATCTGGAAATAAACATAGCTGCTAAGAATTCCTGAGAACACAGTGGTAGAAGGGGAGACAAGTAAGAGTCAAAGGGCTGTTAGCTGATTTTGCCTGCTGCTTCGCAGTGTCCACGAAGGAAACACAGCTAAACGTAACAATATAAACCCAGTTGTGCACTAATTTGCAACCATATGTGCAGGAGAAGGGGAACCTCTAATCTATACGGTGACTGAAAAATCTAGATGGAGAGTGCAGAAGCCTAGTGCTGTGGAAAAAAAAAATAAAATTACTTTAGAGATATAAACAGCAAGTGGCAAGAAGGAGCAATTGGTATGGTTTTTCTGTCCTTTTATATGGCACTTGATGGCTGTGAAGAAGCTTCGCTGTGTTCAGTGAGTAAAGTACAAATAAATACCACTAAAATTGTTACAGGTGGGGAAAAATCCTTGCCTGAGGTTGCAGTCTGTTCAGTTTATCACAGTGAGGTGTGGGAGGTGTCTTGCAACACAGCCTAGAAGTGTCTCTAGCGGGAGAAAGTCCTAGGTTCAAAATGTCTCTCTGTTCTAGTGGCAAAAGAAACAATGAGCAAATGGCTAAACGTTGAGACCAGAGGGATTCAAGTAGGAAACAGGGCGTGTTTGTAACTATGAGGCTGATCAGCTGTTGGAACAAAAGATCAATACTTCAGTGATCCCTCCCACCCCCCCTTAATGAGTTCAGATCAGTGCTGAATGCCTTTCTGGAAAGATACACTCCAGCCAGACAACTATGGAGTTCAATGTGGAAAGGATATGTGAAGTGCAAGGGTGTAGTATAGGTCAGATTGGATGACGTGATTTATACCTCTGGCCTTAATATGTACTATTCCAACTGTATGCAACTTGCATGGTTTTACCTGCAAATGACGGAGCAAAGTCCAGCTGTTCCCACTGAAAGTTAAGCCAGTATCTGAGCCTTCAGCGGTGACGAGAGCTCCTGTCATGACTTCCTAAAGGTGACTGGTCCTTCTTTAATCTAATGTGATTCTTATGGAAATTGAAAAAAACCACAATGAAACGTTTGAAACATGGCACATTTTTAAAGGTTTGATCTAATTGTTCTTTACCTTTTTTTGTTAGATATTTTAATGAGATGTCTGCACAAGGATTAAGACCTCGCACTGTGTCCAGTCCTATCCCTTATACACCCTCACCAAGTTCTAGCAGACCTATATCACCTGGTAAATATTTAACCCAGTTTCTAAAATTATTGTATGCAATGCATAGTAATGTGCCCTATTGCTATATTTGGGTCAGTAGCCTTTCAAAGATAGTCTGGAGAAAAAAACTGCATCATCAATGTAAGAATAGTTTTGCCTTAGATGTCTTCTAGTGCAGCATGTTTTTGGATGGTTCTGTTTTACACTGTGAACAGATATTAAAGGTCAGTTAAGTAGCTATCACTTGAACTTTTATTTCTTTTTTGCTCTCTCAGTTTTTCTCTCTTACTGTCTCTTCTTTTTTATTTCTCTTTCTAGAAGTTACCCAACAGGATGCATAGTTCAAAGAGATTTCTAGAGTTTGGTGATGAACTAGTAAAGAGACTGCTGTTGTGCTCTGAATCAAAACTTCTTAGAGAAGTCTAATCTTGAATGTGTTAAAAAAAAGTCAATTTCCATTTCTCTTCAGTAGAGAAGTGGTTTTTGTACTTCTGCTATTTTCTATTGTAAAACAGTACTATCAAATTAAGAATTCCTGTCTCTAATACTTTCTGTAACAAAGGCAAACTAACCTTTTCTGTTTTTTTAATTACAGAATATGTTGAGTCAAAGGATATGTATTTGTGTTACGAACACATTTATTTGCTGAAATTTAAACTTGCTTAGAATTGCACTTGGACATTCATTAAAAGTTGTTGGCTGTGGATGTTATACGGTGATCACAAACTCAGTTGTACACAACGAAGCGAATCCCGCATGCCCTCCGTTCCCAAGTTCACCTCTAGAAACTGTTAGACAGAGTCCTACAGTAAGGGCAAATGAGATGTGCTCTGTATTGACACATTCTGCAAGATGGAATTGAGATGTTTTATTACACAGGTCTGCTAGAAGAATATACAAAATGTCTTTAAACTCTTCCATTTTCACGACTGGACTGTAGTTTTTCATAAGGACTCAAAAGAGTTTTCATCCAGATGTTGCTAAAGGAATAAGCATGTGTGAAAACTAGCTATGGCTGTAGGCCGTGCTACAGTGTTAGAGGTGAGCATTATGATAGAGATTTTTAAGAGGTTTTTGGGCTTCTGAAATGAGACAAATCACTTGACTTTCAATGTTTTGCAAGGTATGTTATCAAGAAAACGATATATGTTTTCTTATCCTTTGCCTATAACTGGATGTACAGAAAAGTGGTAATGCTAACAAGTATTCTGGAGTAACTACTGTGGATGTTGTGGTTATACATGTGCAACCTTTATAATAACACAATATTCAACTGCACATTGTATCTACAGTCCACACAGTGGTTATAATTAAAAAGTATGTGTAGGAAAAACTATCTGGCAACTTGCAGGCTTGTGTCCTAGATTACCTAGAAATGCCCGTAATTTAGATGCTGATGTGTCAGTGCACGAGCTCTCTGTCAGTTTATTCTTACACTGGGACTGAAGCACATTCATTGTTCCCTGTAGACTTCAGTTCCCATCAGTAGATGATAAAAGAGTGCTGCATTCTGGTGGGAATTACATCCCACAGACCGGGGATGCTGAAAAACTCTGAAGCAGAGTTAGAAATAGCACAGCTGAAATGATAATTTCTAACAGAGTTCACAATCTTAGTAATGCTGGTACAGTAAATGTTCCAGGCTAGCGCTTCTGCACAGGCAGCTACATTACTCTCCTTCACACCTGATAAATTAATATCCACAGTTGGGAAGTTTCAGACTTCAGAAGAATAGAAGCAGCAGTTTGTTAGAAAACTAATAAGATTAATAGGGAATTTTGTACAGCTGTCTGGGATCTATGAATGCAGTAATGGATGAAAATATATGATGTTTTGAGAGTACTTTAGATATAAAGTAGTACAGTAAGACGCTGTCAAAAGTATCAGTTCTGAATGATACAATAGTTACATTTTGCATCAAGTAATTGTATGACTTGGCATGTTTCATTTGCGAAATGATGTGATTGAATTTGTAGAAATGTAATCTGAAACCAGTTAGAAATGCTGTAGTTTCATATGGATAACTTGTCAGGTTTGATGGGTCAGATTCTGGCTCCTGAATCCCAGAACATTGTGTGCTTGCATGGCTTGAGATACTGCTTTTGAGGACTCTTTCAAAAACAGAGATACTGTGGAGGTTTCTGGCACACTGTATGGAACTTTGAAGACTGTGGAAGTATTGCTACTCCTAGGCAGCTGGGGGTTAGTTACTCGAATTACCAGTTCATCTTTAGTGTAGATAATTATGCTTTGTTTCTGCAGCTAGGCTAGATAGAGATTCTGGGCTGCAGAGATGAGCTACCTTGGATGTACATGCACTGTTCTGTTATTGCTTCTTTGACTGCCACATAGACTTGGCATTTGTAAAACTTTTGGGGCTGGTTTATGCCAAAGCAGTCCAAAACTGTAATGTTGCAAAGGTGACATAAAGTGCATTTTTTGCCTTGTATTTTTCTGGGCTCTTGTCACTTGAAACACATTGTCGCCTACCTGAACACTGACTTGTTTCTGTCCTTGTGCTTACAAAAGCACTTAGTTATAAAACGTATTCTGTACAGACAGTTAGGTTGTGTAGTCAAAAAAACAGATTAATTTTGTTAATCTGCATTGTTAACTACTTCAAAGTGACAGTGATTCAATTGGAGTCACTTGTAATTTGCACCAGACACACTGGGGTTGTAGCAGAATTAAACTTAGAATTGAAGGAAGCAAGGGGAGTGTGTTTTCTTAGGAGACTTTATTAGTGATCTGAGGCTTGGTTGGTTGTTTGATTTCCTTCCCCCCCCCCAAGATCTTTTCTCATCAATTGTAGGGACAAACACGGATATATGCAGTTAAGTACAAAGCTAGCTGTAGCTGCAGTGGCACTGTTTTGCATTGGTTTAGCATTGAAGAAGCGTGAAAACTGTTAAATTCAGTGTGGTGTTATAAAAGTTTAATAGACCTTTAGAAATTTTTTTTGGTCATAGTTCTCCAAAGCAGTTCCTAGTGTCTAGCACTAAACAGCTGAGAAAAGGCTTGTCTCCTACCTTACTGATATTTTTGTCAGAAAGCAATAATAAGCTAAAGCTTTTGAAAAATGTGCTGTTTTTCAGAAATACTCAAAATGTTCAGAACACTTCAAGGTCTGAACTTGAAGCACTTAGCAGTTGCTGTTTCTGTTTACCTTGGTTAGCTATACAGGTACTCTGCATTTTTATAAGTAAGTTCTTACAGAAAGGAAATGTTTGAGTGGAAGAATTAGGTATTTGCACTTTTGAATATTAGGCTTTCCTTAATGTGGAAAAAACCAAGCTGTAATTTTAAATGTTGGTTGCTAGCCTAGTCCAACTACTAGCTACTCCCAGAATGTTTTAACTTCACAGCCCCAAAGATCTTTGGGTCCCTGCCTATAAGCACCGAGGCAAAACAAGAGGAAGCCTGGGTGTGAATCTGGTATGCTTTGGAGGAGCCACCTACATGCAGTTTCTTGGTGGAAACTCGTAGTGGCCCAGCGCTAGATGGCTTCTCCAGCACAACCTCTCTGCTTCTTCAGACTGTATTTTGTTCAGGGAGCCATTTCCTCTGAGGAGAAATGGAAGGCTGGAAGAGAATACTAGTAGACTAAAACTAAGCTGCTAGTGGAGCCTAACACTGTTTATGTTAAGTGAAAACTTATGTTTAACATTGTGTAATGTATGTTTTGAAACATATGATGGTTTAGTACAGGAAAAGAAATTAATTTTACATCACGCTTTTGTGTACAATGACTATTTTTTAGATATCTAATCTGGTGGCAGTTACCATTTCTTAACTTATCGTTGATTCAGAGCTAATAAGTTTTAGTAAACCTCACACTTTAATTTGTAATATGAAAAAGAATGTTGATGTTACCTTGTTTTAACAATTTTTAGGTCTGTCATATGCAAGTCACACAGTTGGTTTCACACCACCAACTTCACTGACTAGAGCTGGAATGTCTTACTACAATTCCCCAGGCCTTCATGTGCAACATATGGGACCATCCCATGGTATTACAGTAAGTATTTGAAATAGTAAATACTTGTTACCAATGTCAGTTTGGTTTTTAAAAGTTACGATTGCTTGTCCTTAAGCTTTTTTACAAAATGTTTGTGTCTCCTTACTCCAAGACACCTATCACTGCTTTCTTCAGCCCTGATTTTCCTCTTCAGCCCTCAGAAACTGATTCGTTTTGGAGAACCTTATTTTCTGTAAAAGACTAGGATGTATTATCATCTTAAGGACAGTAATAGGTATCATCTTACGGATCAGCAGGCAGGGTGTGAGAAGTGATCTTCTAAGCTACTAAGCCTATCCCAGGAAGTAAAAGCATTGCTTTCATTTTTCTCCTAGTCACCACCATCTGACGGATGAGTCATCTGAGGTTGTTTCAAGCTCAGGTTTCCTTCAGGATGACAGACAGTGCTACCATCGTGTCACTGTAACAGGCAGTTAATGCTTATTTTCTATTCTCACTGGCAAAGAAGAAAGTTAATACAAACATTTGCAAGGGCAATTTCTCATCTCTTTCAGCTGGATTTATTTTATTTTTACCTGCAATGTTTGATGCACTTCTACTTCATCGTGTTTCTTCTAAGTATTTGTGGAGTTTAATGGGCAAACAGAGCCTAAATAATAACCTTTTGGCAAAATACCTTATAGTTGTTATATCAAGACCAATTTGATTGTTCTTAACCGATACGGTAATATGTAAATATTCTGAAAGGTTTTTGCATATGCTTGTCGTTCTCAGATATGAAAACATATTTCAATAGAATTTTTATTAGAATGCTAAAATATGGCTGCTTCTAAAATCGTTTAGGTGAGCGTGCAAAGGTAATTGTTGATTTCATTGAACAAAGATTGGTGGGAACGCTACAATGGTGGGTAGAACAGGAGGGAAGCTGAAGCTCAACACAAAGGTAGAATCCTGGTCCGGGTTCAGCCCACTGCTGTGTATCATGTGAGCTAGTCACAGGAAAATCTTTATGGTTCTGGAAAACTTGGAACCGGATTTTATAAATAATTTTTTCAAGGAACTTGTTCTGTTCAGTCTCTGTGAAATACTACTCTTTCTGAAACTGTAAATTAATTGGTGTCACGTGGAGTCACTATGAAAAAGATCATCTTCAGGACATAATACTAGTTGTTTCGAGAAAGGTGTTGATAAGTAGCTCTTGGCTTTGTCTTGATACTGAAACCAGGTCCCTTCATATTATTAGATATACGCAAATGCAATAAATGATTTTAAGTGTTTCAGAGACATAGGTCAGTTGTCAAGAATCCCTTGGCTTTTCGCATAGAGCATTCATCTATTGTACATAGTACATTTCTATGCAGAAATATAGATACAATATACATTATTTTATTAAACTGCAGTTTGATTTTTGACTCTTCATATTTGATCTCCGTTACAGAATAAATTGACTTCACCTGTAGTACATTTGGTATAGCATTGTAATCCTACTTCTCCCCAGAGTTGATCACCTGTGCTTAATTGTGGGTGGGTGCTTTGTCATGCCATGATGTTCTTCATTAATGCTTACTGGATCAGCAAGTAGTGAGCATTTTGGTTTCAAAAGTGTAGAAGTTAGTGTTGTGCAGTGTAATCTGTATTTTTACAATGCTAACATTAAAAAATATTCCCCCTCCTACTGGTTTGTAAAGATAAAGTGGGGTTTCAGTCTTTGTGTTTAAATGTGCAGGTTGTTGGAAATCTGTGGTTTCTGTTAAGGGGAGCTCTCTAACAACTGCTTCACTCCTGCAGCTCGAAGGGTGATAATCTTTTTCTGTTCTCCAAAGAACAGCTTGTATTACGCTTTGGTCTTGCTCCAGTGTGCAGGCTGAGAGTCTTTCACAAAGCTAGAGATTCTGGACAGACTCTGGCATTCGAAGCGTTTCCACCCGCACTCAGGTACAATGTAGCTGGACTTGATACGCCAGCAGTGTAAAGTTAAAGGTTCTTCAGCACCTACTGGTTGGGCAAGTACAACTGGGAGGTGCTGTGTTCACAGCATCTCTGATTTCTTTTTAGGTTGCCAGTCATCATAGGTAAACATATCTACAGGACGTATGTCTTGTGTTCGTTTCCTGCAAGCTGACGGGAAGGAGTGCGTGTTCTGTTTGATCTCAGAAGTACTTCCCGTTTCCGTTGCTACTCCATTTCAGAATAATGCTTGTTTTAAGTAAAAGTGGTATTGTGATTCTTGCAATGTTTTGAAATGGGTTCTTCCCACATAATTGTTCAGATTTTTTTGTGTGGGTTTTTTTTTTTTCCTTTGTTAAGCTCAGTAAATTGATTAGAGGACTTGCACCTAATGTTGTTCAGGAGTGCGTTAAACATAGTGTCACTATTTGTTCTGCAGAGGCCTTCACCACGAAGAAGTAACAGCCCTGACAAATTTAAACGTCCCACGCCTCCTCCTTCTCCAAACACGCAGACCGCAGTGCAGCCACCTCCGCCACCACCTCCGCCACCTGTGCAACCTACAGCATCGCAGTCAGCCACTTTTCAGCATTCAGTGCATCCCTCCTCTCAGCCTTAGTGCATGTGCTCAGCAGTCTGTATGTCAGAAGTGGACTCATAACATGGAGCAGTTTACTAAAAGCCAAAGGCTTACTTGGCATATTTGGATTTGACTTATTTGCACTGAGGTTATATAGGCTTCACTGTTAATTGTGTTGTAAACGTTTGTATAAAATGCAGCCAGTGTTGTGGGTCTACAACACTAACTTAACAAAGTTTTCCATCAGTGTTTACTTGAACTACATGTATGTCCATTCTCTGGCTGGAACATTTGCTACTCTGTTTGGTAATACGGCATTACGTCGTTTTGCTGGCTCCAAAGCTTCATTTTCCTGGCTTCTAGGTTTGTAAAATTAAAGGGATACCTTTTTATATTTTTTCATGACAATTTGCAGAAAATTAAAGGCATGATGGGCTATATGATAAATTCTGAAATATTACAGTGTTTACCAAGCTTATGGAAAATCAGCACTACGTTTCAGTCATTTGAAATAACAACTTCTAGTGCAAAAGTAAGTCAGACACCCTAATGAGTGCCCAAGACACATACTCTGTTGTATTATGTAGTAAATAAGCTTAATTCAGCACACAGGACACATTCATGTTACTCCTGTTTAAAAGCACCTCAAACGTATGGTACAGTCTGACTTTTACAGTGAGGGAACTGGCTTGCTGGAATCTGTGGAATGTACAATTCGTGGACCTTAAGATTTGGTGATTTCGCTTGACATTTACGCTAACCTGTAAGCTGCCCATGCTGTGTGATCTGTCACAATTAACTTCGGTAAGTGTGGTCCTGCTCACAGGTTACTGATAGCTGATTAAAGTGTGCTCTTTGATTCTTTTGCTGCAGAAGGCGATGTGATTGTAGAGAACAGCTGATGATAATTTTTTCTTGTTAAAATATATATTAATGGTGATGCCCCTGAAGCAAAGTTTGAACAGGTATTCTAAATGTTCGAAAGTCTGTTAGAAAATAAGATGTAAGAAGAGCATATAGGAATATATTGGCACAACAGCCAAAATGTTGTATTACTTGGTAGAAACAGAGTACAAGAAAGTAGCACAACAGGGCAGTAATGAATGCTTATTTAGCAGCCTAAGCCGGTACAATGTATAAGGAGATGTATTCTGAATACATTCTTTCCATTCATTTAGCACAAATAAATTGGTTTCACTTTGCGGTGGAACAAAGTGTCACTTCTTGATATTGACATCTTAATCAGTTCCGTTTTTCCTGAGGTTCCTGTTGAGTACTGAGGTTTATATATTATTGATGTTTTTAAGTGGTTTACCTCATACATATGGATATGTGGGCCATGGAAAATGACAAGTGAATGTTTATGAGAATATGTATCTGGCTATAATCAGAGCAGAACATAAATAATTTATCTTTTGTTTACAAAAGTTTTTTTGACATGCCTAATGCTTTATTAAGGACATTTTTAAGAAGGAAGTACAGCATTCTTCTGGTAGTATACTAACACTTGTGCATATGTTTTCATGTTTGCCGCTCACCTATTCAGTAAGAATTTCAAACTGAAAATCTTTATGAAGTTAGTTCTCTAAATCAAAATAGTAAGTTAAAATAATGTTGTAAAAGGTTCCGCTTAAGGCAAACCTAGAATTTCTTCACTGTAGCTATGTAGTTTCAGCTCTGAGAGAATTCAGAGAAATGCATATGTAGTCTATTACACTTCTTAAACCAATAGGGGATCAAGTGCGTTTTTAAATTGCGTTAGTTATGGTAGTGACTCTCCAATCAAGTGATTCTCAAGATTGTGGCAGACCTAAAATTTGACCAGTGCTTCCATCTGAAAATAATTTACCATACATAGCAGATGTTCACCTTTCCATAGAGGAGACTCAGCTGTGAGCATTGTAATTAAACAGAGCTCCTGAATCAGTGGTAGGATTGCATGTGAGAAAATTACAGGCAGTCAAAGATGGGACTGAGGTCAAGAAAGGATTGGTTTAGTTTGATGCTTGTCCTTTTGTAAACATAAGACGAAGAAAAAAATATATTCTTTTGCAAGCAGGATTCCAGCTCAAGTGTACCACTATTTGAAATGACGTCCTTCTTTCTGAAGTGCTTTGAGATTCTTGGACATACAGCTCTGCAGAGTGCGAGCTCGTAGTGGTGGTAGTATAAATGCAGGAGGGAGGGGGGAAAGCCTATGATAATGTTGTTTCGAGATCTTAAAATGGAAAATTGCCTAGAATAATTTACATTTGAAGCATATTCCAAAACTGAATTTGTGTAACCCAAGTTCAGCTGCTGTTATAAAGTGTCTTAGTGAACTCTCCTTACTGTTCCAGAGGGACCGTTACCAGAGGAAAGTAAAGAACTGACAAATGTATACTGAATCTTGGAAGTGTAACAAGCCACTAAATTGGCCTTACCTAACTAAGAACGTCGAACAAACCTTTGCTTGCAATCAGAAGTGTTTAACTCTATTTGTAGACTTTTTGAATAAGATGAGAAATTGTGCACAACCATCTCCTAATAAATGTAAATGGATTTTCAGTTTTCCTTGTGAATTATAGTCATGAATTGTGATTTCACAGCTGTGATGTTATCAGATCTCGTATAGACTGGGGAAACTCACTTGACAGTGAGGCGCAGCTTACGAAGAGGATTTAAGTTCTTGGCTGCTTTATCTCAGAAGCACCTGGGTGGGTTTCTGTTGTCCTTTTCATTGCTAATGCCTGTCAGTTGCACACTGTGTCATCACTAATTGTATAAGGCCACAGAAGCAATTTTTAGCCATGATGAGCATTTTGTGAGTGTATCCCTTTACAGCTAAAGGTTTAAAAAAACAAAAATCTTTTAGCTGTTTCAGCAGTGCTATCCTCTCTGACAATCAAGCAGCTTTCTTTTTTACTTTTTCTCTCAAGGGGTCTGGCTTGGACACTGGAATGCAGCTGATACTCTGTAGAGCATTCGGAGTTTATTTTATCCACAGTTTGTTCCAGAGAAGTTCTTTGGAAGAAGAGGTGGGACTGTTTGGAGATAGTCTTCCAGCTAACAGCCAGATAAAATTGTTTTAATTACATGTACTCATCTGAGAGCATTTTCCCAAGGGCAGAAAGGACTGTCAGAGTTTTTCTAGAAAGTGTCAGTGCTTTTGTATTAGCAGTTACTGTACTGGAGCTGAACAGAGCAGGGTTCCTTTCCTGTTAAAATGCGTGTTTGAGAATCCATGTGCCTGGGTGGAATCCCTGTGCACGCCAGCTGAATGAAAAATGCAGTCTTGGAAGCAAAGGAAGTGAGAAAGCTTTCTGGGATCTATGTGAGTTGCACTGCTGACCGGAGACAATATAGACTCCGTGTATTTTGTTAAATAAAATCACGGAGACAAGTAAAAGAGCCTTAAATACTTTTTCAATCAAAGAACATGGTCTCTCATCCTCAGTATTGATTATTGCTTGCTACAAGGATGCATCCAGGGACCTTGTTTAAATCTTGTAGTGGTTTTTCTAATCCTAACACTGTTCAATTCTTCTTGATGTTTCCTTTTTGTTTCAGTTGTGGCAGTCTATTTCTTTTTGATCCTTGGGAGTCTACAGAGCATGGACTATGCAGAGCATATTTCTCCAGTTCAAGCCATCTCATAAGAAACCAGAAGGTTTATGAGTGTAAGCTATATAATTATAATACATGCATATGTTACAACAACCTCCTTGAGGGGAAAGATCTGTCCTCTTGAAGAGAGAGAAAACAAGAGCCCCTAATTACCAAATGGACTGTATGCATAGAGACAATCTGGTTTCCTGAGTTCCCCAAGGAGCTGATTTCCTCTCCCAGCCCATTTTGAATTTGGACTAGAGTTCTTAATCTTTTAATTTATTTTAAATTCCACATCTCACTGTAATAAGTACTCAGGATATCCTTCATGTTCCTTTTGGGTTATAACCACTAGTCCCAGTACAAATGGAGGTTAAGAGTCATTGCCACTTTTTGGACCAGAGAAAGTCACGGAATATGCCAGACTGTGGCCTTTCTGATGCAATCATAATTCAAGTGGGAGTGTGTGCTCATGTAATGATTTTTTTTATTTTCAAGCAGCTGTTTTTGCCTTAGTAGCATGCCCTGAAGAGGAGATAGGACTATAGAGTTTGGCACTGCATTAGCAGGCAGCTGCTGTCTTAGAGAGAATAGTGCTTGCTCCTATTCTACTAGTTAGGCTCCAAAGAAAAGTACTACCTCATCTTTAGGCTGGGATAATGTGGCCGCAGGGTCAGGAGAAATGCCGTAGCTGTGCTAGGTTTTGTTTTGCATGTGTTACTTGCGTAGGAGTTTTTCCTCACTGGAACTGGGCTCCGAGGGTTACAAATCTTTTGTAGAGGAGTGGGAAGTTAGGACGGATGGTTGAGGGTTGAGTTTAAGAAAACTGTGTGTCCCTGTAGTAAATTGCTGCTCAGAGTACTCTTTGGCTAGACCTGGGAATTGCCTCTACTAAAACTATAATTTTTTTCTGTGTGGTTTCTGTTCAAAAAGTGCTCTGTTGCAGTTCTTTAAGTTCCTGGCATTGGTATCTAATTAAAACACAAAAAAAGCAATTCCCTTTTCCACAGAAATAATGGAAATAGTCTTCTATGTGCAAAGGCGGGTTTTCTTATGATATAAATTAATACTGTATCTAAAAACGAAGGTGTGTTAGTGGTAAAACCTAAGCTGTCCAAGGCACTTTAGTTTGTGATTGCTGACTTTTGTTTTGGCAGGTGTTTCAGATGAAATCTAAGCCTCCTGTGGAGGAAGAAAAAAATCACCTGACAGCTGTAGACTGTTCCTTTCCTGCAGAAATACAGCAATTTCCTCAAATGCAAGTAAAAATGGAACAACCATCCTTGAGCTTTTCTGAAGCTTATATTTAATTTCAGTACCTTGGTGATTGCTCTTGTCTATTTAGAGAATCTACAAAGACTCATTATAGGTTGGCTGGGTCTTTAGCTGGTTGTTCCTGTATTTTTCTGATGCTAGTGAAGGAAACCTGTTCAAATTCAGATCAAATTTGTGAATCTGCTGGTTAACAACAATGGCCAAGGTGCGGATTTGCTAAGCATTAATCCAAGTGATGACTTTAAAAGCATTGCACTGTATTGGTGTGAATCAGAGCTTATCATTGAACGAACCTCAGATACAAAGAAGTTTTTTTTCCGCAGGTTACGTTTTATTCCTGTATTAGCTGTATTATTGGCTTTGTTGTATATCTCAAGGTGTTTACATATATTTGTAATTGTTACAGTGTGTCTGTAATCAAGCTCATCTGTGCCTTCATGCAGACTTCCAATAAACACTTGATTTTTTTTGTATTTACTTGTATGGAAGACTATGGGCTGGATGTGTATTTCCTTCTGTCTGTCAGCCTGTCATCACTGGGAAAAAGAGGAAGAAAATGAGAACTAGAAATTGGAGAAAGATTGTTTTTATTTTTGCTGTCTTTAGTTCTAGTAGGGCTGTTTCTGGTATTTTCACTTAAATGGCTGAGTGATGATGCTGGGGATTATCCTATTTGCATAAAAAAGTTTTGATAGGAGATGCTTCTTTTGTAGATTAGGTGAATATTCAATGTATAATCATGCATGTTTGACTCCACCAGTTTTGCTTCTATCTTAGAAGAATGTAGCTGTATTTCTGGAGCTGTTATCATGGGAAAATTCCAGAGTATCTTTCTCCCCCTGAATTAAACATGTATGTTTAACCTTTTAAAGCTGCCTTCCAGGGAGAGTTCAGGCTTTTTTTTTTTTTGCCACAGCAAGGACTGCAGTATCTTTTGGTCTTAGCAGGCCTGCTTAGCTCGAGGGTTCTTTCTGGTGACTGGGGAGTAGAAGAACAGAGTTTCATCTTCTTTCCAGTATTTCTAAGCTCATAGGGGCAGGGATGTGTATTTGTACAAAGTTATGAGAAAACTCATCTTACATGTTTTGAGTCAAAAGCAGTATACAGCAGTACAGTTACTTTTCTAATCTGATATTAAGTATGAGAGGAAGAGAAGAGGAAAAAATGATTCCTTGCCTATGTTAAGGGGTGTACTGTATGTTTTGTAGTTCAGAAAAGAGTGCTTTTGTTATTTCTTTGTAGTAGTAAAGATTGTGGTATCTCGTGGTCTACTTCAGCTTTTCTTGGTTTTCTTGTAATCAAACCTGATTACAGTTAAGTAGTTCTGCTGTTGGATTCAGTCATTTTCTAATGGAGATTTTTCTTAAGAATCCACCATGATTTCTACTGTTTTGTCATCTTTTTGTATTAAAACTTTAATTATTATATTTAATAATCAATATTAAAAGCATTAACCAATTTGAATTTATGGATATCTTTGTTAATTGTAGTGAGTGCTTTCTTGATACTGGGACATCACATCAACTATCTTTGGATAGAAACAGAGAGGAGAAAAGCAGGCATAGTGTACTATAACTGCAGTGTTATAGTTGAATTGTAAACTTTAGGTACGTAAAGATGATGGTACGCATTTGTGAAAATTCTGTGCCTACTTTGTTGTGTCACCCCTTGTGAAATCTCCATTTTTGTCACCTTTTTATTGTATATGTTCATTCATCAACTTAACACAAAGCTCACTTGTGTGATGTTCTCAGTAGCTTTTGTAACTATTTGCTGTATCTGGCTGTATTGCCAAGTTTCTGGGCTTAGATCTTAAAGTCTCAGTAGCACTTACCTATGCTTATCTTGTATTCAGTGTCTGAGTCTTGCTAAACTCATTGGTTGAATCCACTTGCCTCTGTCTTGTCATTCAGCTGCCACGCGGACATATCTCTGTGACCACACTCTGCTCCAGTCAGCACAAGCCTCTGCATGCAATACAAAGCATGCTATTCCATTTTGACCAGTAATAATCCATAATCCCTGTATTATGATGGCTGCAAATTCTTGGGCACCAGGCCGTGTGAGTACTTCAGTGAATGCTAATCTAGCTGATCCATGTTACTCTCTGTTCTTAGAACACATGCAGTATTTCTTAAAATGCCTTTATTCCTCTCCACTGCTGCAAATGCTGAGCAGTCGATAGTTCTGCCTCTCTCCTTGGGAGTACCCTGCCTGACACTGGCACAGCCGGTGTGTCTGCGAGCTGGATGAATGAGCTGTGTTGATGCTGTCTGTCTTCATGCATGCTGTTTGCTTTTTCTCTGACATTTGTCTGGACAGAAATGAGTCACTTGAATACTTTCAGAAGACCGGAAGAAAAGGGAAGGATGATGCGTGTAATTGGTTTAATTTCAGGTTGCCTTGTCCAGGTGATCTCCCTTTTAGGTGGTTCTTTTGTGTTTCATGTGGTGCTTGTACCCCTTTATAAATGAAAGCAAGTTCCCAGCATTGCAGGAATTAACTTAGAAATTCTGGTAAACTGCTGACAGCGGGAGAAAGAATGATGCATTGCAAAGCAAGCAATATTAATGAGCCTAATCCTTCCTGTATGTAAAGATACTGTCTTGGATATCAGTCTGTTTCACGTGCCTTTGAGGCCATTCCATACCTTTCAAGGTATACAGTATATCCTTCAGCCCACAAGC